TGGATATCAGAATATTCAATACTTTAACAAATTTGAAGCAAAACAAAAAAAAATTCATTAAAAAGAAGCCGGTCATTAAAGACCGGCAAAATATTCAGAGCCCCGGCCCCCTGGTCGGGTAAATACAAAACAAACGGCACGCAGGCCGTGGAAAGAAGACATAAAGCTTAAGAAGGGGGCAGATCTTCAATACTAGCAGCTGCCGCCTGGTCAGCACTCTTCTTGCTGAACTCGGCTTCAGCTGCATCCTTCTTTGATGCATTACCCCCAAGCGGCACAAGCGCCACTACCGGCTCCTCCTCCTCCTCCAACGCCATTTCCTCAGCAGCCGCCAGGATCTCTTGATTATATCTATCAGAACACTGGCGGTACGTTTTTTCCCATGAGGCAAAGTCGGCATTGGGGAATAGGCGGCCCCAAGTCATGCGCTGGATTTGAGCAGAGTCTTCCATCATCTCCTGGACCAGCTCTTTCTTTTCTTGCTCGGCCTTTTCCGAGAGCTCCTGAGTAAGACTCTTCTCCTGGGTCACCAGGCGTTCCTTTACGCTCGCCAAGGATTTCTCCAAGGTTTCGTATGAGGACATCTTTTGGCGAAGAGGTCTCAGCTCGGCCTTGAGGTTGTTGATGGTCGCCTCCAGCTCGCTATTCCTCTTCTGGGCCGCCTCTAACTGAGCCCGGATAGCGGCGGTAGCCTGCGCCTGATAATAAAGAATATCAATGGTCAGAACTTCATTTTGGGCAATTTGAAACATTGCCTTATCACAGTCAGAGGCGGCCATAGCTTTTGCAGCCTTTACCTCTTTGTTCTTCCGGTCAAGCGGCTTGCGAAGGCCGTTCACTCGGAGTAGGGCCTAAGTAAAAAGGGGAACAGGCGTCAGTTTCCAAACAAAAAAGAAAACAGGCGTCCTGGAATTCAAATACTCAAAAATATGCTAAGTATACCTCAGCAAGGACCCCTGCAATCCCTTCTAGGTCAAGGGTGCCGACACCCCTGACCGCCTCCCTTTCAGCTGGAGGAACGGCCTTGATCATAGACTTGGCCACCTCGACCAAGTCAGGCTCCTGAGGGCCGTCTGCATCAAGCATAAACAAACGGATTAGACCTAGTAAAGAAGGGAGCAAGTCTAAAATTTACAAGGATAATCTCATACTTCTAGGTGGCCCAGCTGGAGTTTTAGAAGAAGTGGCCGGCTGTTTCTCAGCCGCCGCATTTTTCCTGGCAGAACCAGGAGAGCTCGCAACAGTCGTCCTCCGGGCCTTGGGGTCCGGCTGTTGGGAAGAAGAAGCTCTTGGAGCGCCCGTCTAAAAAAGAAGAAAAGAGTCAGTATATACATAAACACAACTCCAAAAAGAGGGTGAAAGGTTCGAAGCCCACCAAGGGTGCCCCCTTGTTGGGGGAGTCGGTTGAAGGCTGTTGCATGATGGAGGCCCGCAACATGGCCGCCACAGTCTTGGAGGCGGTAATTTTGCTCATGGCGTCCGCTGCAAAAACAAATAGCAAAGTTAATAAAAGTCATAACAAGAAATGCACGGAACAACAGAGTATTCGACAGGCCGGCTACCTCTTGAGCACCGACTGCTGAGGCCACAGGCGGCCAAAAAGTACTCGTCATAGAGCCATTTGAAGCTCGGGACGCAGTGCAGGGGTACTTGCTCTCGTACCCCTGAAGTAGAGTTCACCTTCGACTCTACTTTGAAGAGTCCTTTATCTAGGATCTCTTTCTTAGCCTTGGGGGGAACAGGCGGCATGCTGCGGCCGCCTGCAAGAAGGGGCGGATTCTTGTTCCACCTGTTGAAGCGCTTGTTCAGCTCTGTGTCTGAACTCTCAATGATGAGGAAGGTGCTCCGCCAGTCCTTCCATTTGTTTTCTTTACCTCTCGTCATGAGGTAGCCCCTGTGGCTCGTCAATTGATACCAGCCGGTACCGCCTGCCTTAGGGGTCCGGCTGAGGTAGTTCATGTGGGCGAAAGCCTCGAAGTTCGGCTCCACCCCGTGCAGTTCGCACCCGGCCACATAGCCGAGTACGTTGACCCAGGAGTTCGGGGCTAACTGCCACAACCCCAACTCATACCCATCCAAGATCCGCTGAACAACCGGATGTAGTGGGAAGCGCAGCCCAGCCTTGATGGCCGCCTCGTAGCAGCCAAAGCAGGCGCCATCATAACTGGTACCAGCCGGCCAGACGACTGTGTCTTCTGGATCCGGCACGAACACTAAAAAGCCGGGGCCCATTGTGTGGTTTGCGATAAAGCTCTCCACTTTCTCTTGCATGGCTGTGATCCGGCCCCGAGGTACCGTGCAGTAGTAGGGGGTATTTTTCTCTCGGTGAGAGGCGGATGGCTCCGCCCAATCGTCCCCCTTCTCAACTGCGTGAGAAAGCCTCGCCTCTTGTAGGCGACAGTTTTTCTCTTCTGTGTCCAGAGAAGCATGGCCAGAAGAGCTAGACTCGAAATCGTCCTCTGACGAGTCCGAAGAGGACGACTCCTCCCCTCTCCCGGAGGGGCCCGCCTCCTCTCCTTTAAAAGGAGCAGGAGAGAATGTAGAATTGTCAACTGTAAAATGGGAAGGGGTCACTTTGACTCCTCCCTCAGAACTGCCGGCTTTCAAGCCGCTTTGTTTCACTTCCACATCTGGCGCCTGGTCAGATGTTTCACTAATCGGCACCCTGTGGGAGGAGCCGTCTGAGTTTGAGATCCTGACAGTCATTTTTGTTCTGGCCATCATGCTCTGCATAGACACAGATACAGTCGGACTTTGTATAAAGGGCAAAGATGGGTCCAGAAAAGGGCAGGCGGCACTCCTAGTCCTAGATTCAGCCGTCCCCGGTGACCGGCTGATCACTAACCTAGGTCGTGTCGTGTGCTTCCGTGGTGCCATTTCAAAAAAGAATAAAGTAAAGAGAAAATTAAGAGTAAGAGAACCGACGGTTACCTGAACGAGTGACGATTGATGAAGTTCTGAAAATCCTTTGCAGTCGGCTTGTCAGAGCAGGCGGTAGGCAGAAAGGGTCCAAAATGTCAGAGCAAGTTCAGGGGTCCGAATGTTCTCTCACAAAGTTTTCAAGTGTGAAAATGACCGAAGTCAACACTCCTTTATATAGGCGAAGTGAGAAGGCGAAGGGTCACTTCCAGAATTCAAAATTTTGGCGGGAGAATCTCTCGGCCTCTCGCCGAGTGACACCTGTAGCAGGTCGTCGCCTGTTACAGGGCGATACCTGTCACAGGTAACACGTGACCAGTCACGTGCCACCTGTGAGGGGCAAATGATTAGGGGATTTTTCCCCACCAATCACCATCTGACAAGTGGACCAATCAGGTTCCGCCATGTGTCCGTCACATGGGCCAATAGGAGCCTGCCACGTGTCAAGCAATGATCCGTCCACCATGGACCAATTACGACACGACACGTGTCCTTCCCATGACACCTGGGATAACCGGTCACCTAGGCCCAACTCCCGAGGGAAGCCCAATCAGCCCAAGGTTAACCTAAACCTAGATTGACACGTTTCCCGAGGTTATAAATACCTCCCTTAATCCTCATTAAGGGAGATTACACGCAAAAAACGCAGATTACACACATTAAACACTCTCACCTAGAGAGACCCAATCACTTTAATTTCCGCATTAATTACTCCTTAATCAAGTACTAACTTGACCGTCGGAGGCGGATCTCCAACCATCCGGAGTATCCGTTTGTTTCGCAGGTACAGGCGTCCGGTTCCAGTCTCGAAATTGTAACTCTCCCGCAGGACATCAGAAAACCCCAAAACAGCAACTATCAATTACATTTTTGGGGAAAACTATACGTACATTTATTTTTAAGATACATTAGAATGGAGGTAATTTTTTTATCTAAGTTTTTCGATGGGACAATTTCTTTTTATTCACATGAATAGAAATTCTCAACATGCAAATTAAAAGTTCAAAAAACCTTACATACATCAATTTACCCCACATTCCAACATATTAGGCAAGTTACAGTCAATTTTTAATGCTTTACATCGAAATTTATTATTTGATTTATGCAATTTTAGAGATGAAATTAAAGTAACTCATCATTCACACTCATCAATTGCTATACATAGCACTATAGTGATAGAGTATATAATTCGATTTTGGACTTCAACCATCAGCTTAAACTTTTAGTTGAATTGGTCCATTAACATGGTATCAGAGCCAACGTGACACAGAGGTCACGGGTTCGAATCTCATCCACCCCTTCTTTCAAAGTGGAATATTAAATGCTGGGTATGATGGGGCCCATGTTACATCCACACTTCAAGTCCAATGGACTCTTATATGAGGGGGTATGATAGAGTATAAACATATTCATTGGCCTCAACCATCAGCTTACGTTTATGGTTGAGATGGTCCACTAAAATTAACAACGTCATCACAATATTATTAAACCCCTCGGCCCTCACACATATTGTAGGACTGAAGGTTCATACTCTAGCCAAAAAATGCACTATAATTACATGAAGTTGAGTTTCATTATATTTTGAGAGCTACACATGAGACAACTTTTATCTAAATTGAAGAGCTAAGTTGGTTAAACACTGTAATTTTACCATGAACTATCCCATTAATATTCGCGGTAGGAATTGATTGTATGCTAGGGTTCTATATCCAATGTCCAAATCATGTTTGCTCCCATGAAAATAGATAGCTTGTGAAGTGAAGGCAATTCACTTATTAAAACATTGTTTTAATTTGGTATTATTTAGGCATTGCACGTATCTTCTTGAGTATATAATTCATCATTTTGTTAATCTAACGTTAAAGCAAGTTTTTAACTCTATATGAGTAGACATCCGCATTTATGGAAACTAGTGGAAAATCCTAGTCCTAATCCAATTTATCATTAATTGGTTACGTCCTTGTCACATTGCCTATCTAAGTAGCATATATACAAGTACTATGTAAGTGTGATCTTAGTAGACTTAGTTATAGTTAATTCATATTCATGATTTGCATATATTATGGTTAGTTAGCGTGGAATACAACATGTATTAATTGGTATTTACGTTTACAATAAGATCCGTGCACTCACGGTTAATAACTTAGAAAAGAGTCTAACACATTACACATATAATTTCTAGAAGCATATTGTAAAATCTTTTTATCATAAACGCATGTTTATTAACCATTAAAATGGCAGTGCGATTGTATATAGCCTTATTATGAGAATTTTGATAATGTGTTAGAATTACTACTTTTGTTTACTTAGCTTATACAAAAGAAAAAAGAAAAAAAAAAAAAAAAAAAACCGGAAGATAAACCCAATTTAAAATACGATGCACCAAAACTTATAGTAAGTGTTCAACCCATTCACACATTTCCATTTAAAAGTACATACATTTTGTAAATAAAAAATAAACTTTGTATTGTTTTGTTTTCATAACATGTAAGATGTATGTAATTAAGTTACATAATGTAACACTATACCATTGTATTTGCTAGGCTTATTTCAAAAGATAACAAAATTAAATTTAATGCTCATCAATTAAAATTTGCGTCATCTCTTTTGCACGATTTTTCTCATCAGTCCCTCCCTTTTCCCTGTTCACATACAACCCATACACGTAGGAGCAAAACCCCCATGCACATATCACGGTGGACACAGCTTTGGGGCCGCTAAAGTTGTCCCCGTACACTAAGACCCCGCCGATCACGTTCAACGCTAGGAGGGCGGTCATGCACACGCCTCCGGTTAACGAGGTGGTCAGAAACACCATCCCCGCGGTGCCCATGAAGCACACTTGCCAACTTATGATGTTACCCATCACGGTTAGCCAGTACATGTTATGACCTAGGTCGTATTCGACCATGCTCTCCCTCTTCATCTCTTTGAAACCACCAGCCGCCGCCATTGCTATGGTGGCGATCACCGTTGTTGTAAACTCCATAACAAATTGCATCTCTACCACCATTTCATAGCAATAAACCTCCCTATGTAAAAAACAATATATGTGTACCGTTACATAAATTGTTTAATATTATGAGAAAATAAGATAAATGAAAAAAGAAAAAATAGTGAATAATTTTCTATTTTTTTTTATATGTAATTATGGCCTTCATGGATTTACTTACAAATTAAAACTACTCTTATAAAAGTTGCATATGATTTTGACTTTGTTAGCATAAATGAGAGATTTCATGTGATGCAATGGGCAACTTTCATTGACTCAAACTAGAGTTGATCAAAGTTGGCCCGGCCCGATTTTGGGCGGGTTTTGGGCAGATTTTTCCGGCCCGAAAAATTATTTTTTTGGGCGGGTTTGGGAATGCGTTTTTTATGCATTTTAGTTGTATTTTTTTGCCCGGCCCGAAAATAACCCGAAAGCCCGTCCAGCCCGACCACTTTGGGCACAAAATTTTTGGCCCGGCCCGGCCCTAAAAATGGCCAAATTTTTTAGCCTTGGCCCGGCCCGGCCCGGCCACTGATCACCTCTAACTCAAACTAATTCTTTATAAAATTAAAATATAATTATTGGTATGTAATATGTTTAATGCTATTAATGAAAATAAAAACTCTAAAATAATAAATATAAATGGTAAGAAAGAAGAAAAATTAACATTTTTGAGGCGGATCATAAATAATAACTGTGAGAAATAAGAATTAAATAAACGTGCTAAAGATTATAAACCATAATTGTGATCTAATAAGGAAGAATTACGTATAAAGGAGGCCGGGCTTATGGGTAGTTTTATAACGTATTTCGAATCTATTCTCGTTACAATCCAAACAATTTATATATATATATATATATATATATATATATATATATATATATATATATATATATATTTTGATGGGTACAATATAACAAGCGAAGTAAGAAGTTGATGAATTACCACGTCATCCACTAATTCTTATTTCCGCTTTAATTACCAAAAGTATCCATGTATATGTAGAATGGACTTTGCAAATACTTCTTTACTTTATCAAATGTAAAATTGTCTTTTTCTCCAAAAATACAAAAAATTAAAAAATGAATAATAAACAAAAAATGAAAAAAAAACAATAAAAAGTAAAAGGTGAATTTGTAAAGATCTGTGTACAATTGCTCTAGGCATTTAGCTATTCCAATCTTTGTTTTTTTAATTTATTTTTGGAATTTCTGACATTTCGTGAGTTTTGGTTAAATCTACAAGTAGACGAAATTGGTACTATCCTACGAGGAAAATTTGCTAAATCCAAATTCCCAAAAACTTTTTTTCACTTTCAAATGGATTAATTAAGTTGAAAAGGAATACGAACAAACACAAAACATATGTGATTTATTACCCATTATTGGATCGATTTAAAGAAAAATGTAAGCAATTTATTTATCCATAATTGGAATATGGCTTTGTCACTTTCATTCTCTTTCTAGTTTCGATCGTATAACATTGTTGGAAAAAAGATGTGGATAGCACAATTATTAAATCAAGCTAAGAAGCGATCTTGAGAAATTCTACAATTATTTTTAAAAGACATATATTGCATTCTTTTAATCGATCTTCAATAATGTCAAATACGGATTGAGTATAATTGTTGTCTTCTTATACTACATAGTTATTAATGGATTTTTAAAAGATTCAAAGTATTAGAAAAAAAATATATACAACCTTCGTTTCTTAACAGATGCATCGATTTGACTATTAAAACTATTTATATACTTTGCCCACTTGTACGAGTATATATATACTATGATAAATAATGTCATTTTTTTAGGAAATGATAAATGATGTCATTATTTTTATTGTTATTACTCAATGTATATTACGAGTATCAAATCATCAAAATTACGTAAATTTTACCAATACGGAGTATATAATCAAAGATACAAAAGGTCAAAGAAAGTTTATGAACAATGTAAAAATTCAAACTGATATATCTATTGAAAAACGGAAGAAGTATTAGCTTTTTACAGATGGTTACTCATTTTTAAATTAATCCAAATTTCAGTTACTTCAAAACAGTTTAAGTTGGCCCTTGTCACAGAACACATGTTTTGTAACGATTTTTAGGGACTATTGAAAGAACAAACAAGGGACTATTTTTTTGAGGACTATTGAAAAAATAAGGGACTATTTTTTTAGGAAAAAAATTAGTTAGAATTTTTTATTAAAAAAAAAGTTATAAATAAATTAAACAATAAAAATTTATCGAATGTCACCTAATTTATAATAGCTGCTCCAATAATAAGTTTAATGTCACCTAGTTTATAATATTAATTGCCCCAATAATAAGTTTAATGCACCTAGTTTATAATAATTGCCCCAATAATAATTTTAATTACCAAATAAATTTTCCATCTAATAATTCTCCTAAGATAATAATCTTGCATGCATTTAATGCACTATTATGTACCAAAAAATGGAGACAGAAATTCACACACAAATTAAAGAGTATACGTAATTGATTCATAAATTTAAATTAAGATGACATGAAAAAAAAAAAATATATTGTACCTATAGATTTTCTCCATGAGAGGAAGATAAAGAGAGAAGAGCAATCCGGCACCAATGGTACAAAAATAGCCAATAAAATACATGCGCTTGGTTACACCCTCGGGATGGTCATGGCTCGAAATTAAAGCTAATAAAACCGAACTTATGGTTAATAAAATCACACAATTTAAGTTGTTAAAGGTGATTTTTTGCTTAACAATGAGGCACGATAAGATTAATGTGAACACGAGTTGAGAAGATAAAAGCAAGGAAGATGTTGAGACCGGCAAATAAGAAGTGCCCCAAGAAATTAAAAAGTTGTTTAGGAAAAATAAAACTCCAATTATCATAGAGAGGAGAATTAATCTTTTGGTAAATTTTTTGAAGGGTTTTCTAGGGCTTAATTCAAACATGTAAGGGAGAACTATAGGGATGATAAGGATGGGAAAGCCAGCACATTGGACCCAAGTTGAGACCCATCGGCTTGAGCCATTGTGGATGAAGTAAAATTTGGCCAAGAGTGAGGAGGCCAAGGAGCCTACAAAGAGTAACATATAGTTTAAGACTAGTAGCACCATGTAACGTTTTGTTGGTTTTTGGGACGATGGTGAGGATGAAATGATTGGCATGATTTCGTCGGTGTTGGTGGGCGGCGGCGGCGGTGGTGGTGGAGCTTGGTGGACTGGGGACATTTTTTTTGGTTGAGAGGAAGGAGTCATCATGAAATGGAGAAGGATAAAATTTTTGGTTTGATGGAAGAAAGAAATGAAGGGCTTGTTGAAATGTTGGAACTTTTGGGTTTTTAAATGTGTGTGTCTTGTGAGTATTGGACAATTTGTGTGAGTGTAGCTGTATTGGTGAATGTCTTGCGAGTTTGTTGTGAGGACTAAAAAGTAAGCGGATTTATTTCCCTTTTAAAAATATTTTAAGGATTTTAATAAATCACCCCTTTTTTAAAAAAAAAAAATGATGTCACTAATTATATAGATGACAGTAAAAGCTTAGTTAAAAAATACTCTCAAATAAGTACATAGATGACAGTAAAAGCTTAGTTAATAATACTCTTCTTAAATGTAATTTATCTTTATTTATCAATGGGCTTTTTTAAAAAATGAAAAATCAGTCATGAATCATTCATTGTTCTCATTTTCACAATAACCAACTTTTGAATTGAGGGGTTAGTCAAATTAAAAATATAGTGCAGAGTAATAATTTTGAAGATCAAGATCATTAGAGGTTTTTGTTTTTCCTTTTGTTTATGATAATTTTATTTAGTTTATAGCTATTGATGAGTGTCATGAGCGTGTTTCAAATTGTTACTTTTCGTATTTTATTTTTATTTTTTTAAAAAAAAGAGTACTTTCGGTAATCTTTACCTAGTGAAGAACAAATGGTTTGGTGACTATACAAGTGATTGCATGATTTTATTTTATTTATAAAAAAAAAAAAAAAAAAAAAAAAAAAAAAACTTACAAGTTTGGAAGTGAAAAAACAACGGCTTAAATTGTACTTCAATTTGTATTGTCTTACCAAGAAAAGATGTTTATAAATGCACTCTTATTTTTACCATATATAGCAAATTAACAATATTATTATGGGTCTTGTTTACTTTACATTACTTGTGTTGAACTGAAATTATTTTTACTGAACTAAATTTATTTTTGTTGAGCTTAAATTATTTTTACTGATTTGAAATTAGTTTTCACGAACTAAAATTGTTTATATTCAGTTCAATAAAAAAATGTTAGCTTCAACAAAAATGAATTCAGTTTAATAAATATAAGTTTTAATCAATATAAATCAAGAAATTCAAAGAACAAATGTAGTAGAGACTCAACAATTTTAAGTTTTAATTAGTAAAAATAATTTAATTTCAACAAAAAATAATTTCAGGAATTTTTTTTTTTTTTTTTTTGAACATTACCTAAATCTTGTCTTGTAAAGGATTATACTTATAAGACTTTTATTTTCTATAAAGTTTTTTAAATATCAACAATGATGTTAAATTATATTGGTGGTTAATTTCTCATTTTTCATTTCAACAATACGGTCATGCGCACCATCCGATACTTTATACTCTTGTATGGAGGAGCAATAATATTGATTTTCTTGAAAAAAAATTGAAGGATTGACATAGAGACGAAATATTTGCATTAGAATTTAGAAGAGAGTGACATGTAATACATAAACTTTTAATTTTTAATTTTTTAATAAACTACTAAACTAGTATATATACTACATTTAATCCCCAAAATGTCTTATTTTACTCTTTGGTCTCCACTTCTACATATGGCACTTTATTATTTTTCTCTCCTTATGGACCCTACTCTTTTATATATTTGTTGAGTAGAATTACCAGAATAATAAATTTAGAAGAAAAAAAGTGAGCATAATAAAGGTTTTTGGATTTTTTTTGGTTGGGTGACTTGTGGGAGTTAATTATACATAGGGAGTATTATTATTCCCAATTAAATGGGTGTAAATAGGAAAATGAAAAGTATGCTTAAAAAAAAAAAAAATTGAAAAGTAGTTTTATGTATGTTTTGGATTGAAGTCCAATCTAATAAATTCAACTTTGGTTGTTTGGAAATATTGAGTCCAATTCGATCCAAAGATTTACCAACTTTCATTTGATCCACCAAATATAAGTTTGGTATGTAGTTTGGATTCAATCCGAAATTCAAATTGAAATTATCTTTTCTTTACAAATTATTTTCGATGATGTGAAAAAAAAAAAATACAATGTAACCCAATATATTCCATCCCACAAACTCAAAATGACTTGAAAGCTAATATACGATCTCGAGGAATAAAAATAAATTTCGACAACAACACTTTGTAAATTACTTCCTCCGTTTTAGTAATATTGCAACAATTGGACTTTTGCACTATTCATCATGCTTATTTGACCACAAATTATGATTTATACATAAAGTAAAATATAGTCATGTGGGATCTTGTTAGATTCGTTTTGTAAAATAGTTTCACAAAATCAACTTTTTATAATTTTTATTATTATATAATTATTGATATTTAACATATAAAATGTGCTTTAAGATGCGTAATTTTATCCTTGTTGCAATATTTTGTGGAACAGAGGAAGTATAAAATTATTCCATTTAAAAAAAAGTGATAAAACCCATCAAAAAACAAAAAAAAAAGTTGAGACAAAGAGAGAGGTGTATATTTATAAAAATATTATGAACCAAAAAAAAAGCTCAATTGTTTCAAATAAATAAATAAATAAATAAAGCTCACTAATATTGGTGTATTTAACTAGAATTCTCTCAAGCCAACTAAATGTGAATTTCTGATTTTCCAAAAAAATAAAAATGTCAATCCAATTCAATCTGATTTTATTTTATTTTAAAATCAATAATTTTTTTTTCTTTGAGGGTGATTGGGTGAAGGATAACTCAAGTGGTTAGAGCTTTCCTTCCGATCCGATTTCAGGAGATCCTAGGATCAATTCTCACCCCGTCCTTGTGGATCTCTTAACACCAAAAAAAAAAAATTCTTTTAGATAAATGGTACGGTGTATAAAAGTTAGTTTATCAAATTTTTGTTGGCTTTTTTTTTGTTGGCTTTTGGCTTGTTGGCCCACAAATTATCAAATAAACAGCCAACAACCACCAACTAAATTTACCAAACACTTTTATAAACAACCAATTTCAAAAGCCATTATAAATAGCTAAACATTCAAGCTGGTCAAACAAGCCAAGTGAACCAGCCAACCGCCAACAACCAACATCCATTTTCCAAATAAGGCCTAGGTCTAAAGTGTAGGGAAAAGAAGGGTTTTAGTGAATAGGAGGATAGGGTTTCTAGAGAGAAGAGATAGCCCCTTTTTCTAGATGCCAATTAATTAATGATTAACTATGTCATATGTATATTGTTTAAAATAATAATAAATTAAAAAGAACATTGTGTATAGGCTTTTGGCTTGTTGGCCCACAAATTATCTAATAAACAGCCAACAGCCACCAACTAAATTTACCAAACACTTTTATAAACAGCCAATTTCAAAAGCCATTATAAATAGCTAAACATTCAAGCTGGTCAAACAAGTCAAGTGAACCAGCCAACCTCCAACAGCCAACATCCATTTTTTAAACAAGGCCTAGGTCTAAACTGTAGGGAAAAGAAGGGTTTTAGTGAATAGGAGGATAGGGTTAGAGAGAAGAAATAACCCCTTTCTCTAGATGCCAATTAATTAATGATTAACTATATCATATGTATATTGTTTAAAATAATAATAAATTAAAAATAATATTGTGTGTGTATATTATATTATATATATATATATATATATATATATATATGGGGATTTATAACCTAATAATCACTGTTTGGGTGGAACACTTACATTATTAGATCTATTGTTATAGATTGCCTCCTTATAGTGTTTTAAATCACTTATTAATGAGGTGGCAATTTAGGTGATTTTCGAACTTATTGTGAACTATGTACACTGCACCACATCTATATTTATATCTATAAATAAATATTAAAAAGCGTTTCAAAGGAAGTTTACTTGTCATATGACATTCTCTATCATATCATTCATTGTTTCTCTTTCCACGTGTTGCCCATGATGTTAAAAACTTATATTTGGGACTAATGTTTTCCTTGACTGTGTAGCCTGAGTTCAAGTTACAGAGTTATTCGAGACAAAAGAACTGGAGCTCAAAAAGCAAAGACTGTTTGCAGTGTTACTTTGCAGGAACATAAGCTGGAGAAAGAAGATTCGGAGCAGAGACTTATTAAGAGAATTAATAAAGTCTAAAGTATTTTTATTTTAGGTTTTATGTAAGCGAAAGTTATTTGAAGTCTGATAGTTTAGTAGAATGCACAAATCATTTAATAGAATTTAAAGGTTGCTTATTTATAGGAAACTTAGTTATATATATATATATATATATATATATATATATATTTCTGATTTCTTGTTTAAAAGAATATCTTTTATTTTCGGAATTCAATGTATTTGCAACTAACTTCCTAAACATGCGCTACTGGTGTTTGATTAAGTTTTCTCCACTGAACGAGAAAATTGCTTCTTGCTGGTTTAACGTTTCCTGAGTTTTAGGACATGATTGAAGCACTGGAATTGGTGGAGGATAATGGCGTTGATGTCCAGCAGTAGTTGCGTAAGTGTGGCGGCGTTTTATTCAAGGTTTTCTATAAATATAGAAGTTGTTTTCTGGAAAACACAACCTTGCTTAATCATATTTTCTATCTTCTTAGTTTTCAAAGAGTTAAGAGTCGCATTCTACTTTAGTTGATAACTTTCTTATTTTCTTTCATTAGAGTATTTATTTCTAAGAGTTGTAATTGGGATTTGGGGAGTTTGAGTGAACTCAAGATAAGTCATAAGAGAAAGAGAGAAGAGAAAGAGAAGAGAAGTGCATTAAGTCGAGGGATTTATTGTTGGGAACTCCAAGTTCGTTGAGGAACTTGGAGATAGAGTCTTTAGCTTGTAATAGGTTGATTGCCCTATTCTAGTAAAGAATCTTTCTTAAAATCCCAAGTGGTCGTGGTTTTTCTTCTTGTTAGGGCCAATAAGTTTTCCACGCTAAAATCTCTCTGTGTGACTTTTGCAACAACTGGACTTTTGCACTATTCATCATGCTTGTTTGACCACAAATTATGATTTATACGTAAAGTAAAATATAGTCATGTGGGATCTTGTTAGATTAGTCTAGTAAAATAGTTTCACAAAATCAACTTTTTATAATTTTTACTATTATATAATTATAGATATTTAACATATAAAATGTGCTTTGAGATGCGTAATTTCATCCTTGTTGCAATATTTGTGGAACAGAGGAAGTATAAAATTATTCCATTTAAAAAAAAGTGATAAAACCCATCAAAAAACAAAAAAAAAGTTGAGACAAAGAGAGAGGTGTATATTTATAAAAATATTATGAACCAAAAACAAAGCTCAAT